CTGGCCCTGCCCCCCTCCTGGCCCTGCCCCCCACCTGGCCCTGCCCCCACCTGGCCCTGCTCACTGGTGCCTCCCAGGTGCCTCCCATGCCAACCCTCACCCCCAAGATCTTTCCCGCGTGGCTGCAGTGGGACGGCAGGTGGAGGCCGTGGGTGACTTGCTCAGACTTCCCGTTTCAGCTCCCACAGGAACGCGCGTGACTTCCCTGGCGCCGCATCCCGGGAGAATGTGGGCCGGCTGGGCCGGCCGCACCCCGGCCTGGCAGCCCGGAGCCCGGGGAGCGCGGACGGCTTCCTGTCGGAGAGCACTTCCTGCGCCACGCGGAGCAGGCCCGTCCTGTCCGCAGCGGGAAGTGCGATGGGCCCTGCCACGCGGGACCGGGGCGGGGGGCTCGGAGCGGCTGGGCCTGGTGCCACAGACGAAGCCTGAGGAGCCTGGTCACTCCACAGCCTGGCACCCAGCCGGGCCTCCTCCCCGCACAGCCCCCGGCGGGCACCGGGCAGCGCTCACACGAACCAGGTGTCTCTCTCTGCTCTCACACACACACTCCATGACCACCATCTCTTTGTTTGTCCACAAATATCTGTGCTTCCCATGGTCTTAGGCGACCCTGCTATTGGTTCTCAACCTGTGGGTCGCCTAAGACCATCGGGAAACACAGATATTTACATTACGATTCATGACAGAAGCAACATTACAGTTATGAAGCAGCAACGAAAACGGTTTTATGGCTGGGGGTCACCACCACAGGAGCTGCAGTGGAGAGACGAGGCATCAGGAAGGCTGAGAACGGGCCTTTTTCTAGTGCCAAACCCGTGAGAGGTCCCGCTCATTCCCACATTAGCTCCCCCTTCCCCAAGAAGTTCAGCTCCTGTTCCTTCCAAACTAAAGTGCAGGCAGGGAGGTGGCTGAGCGTCGGACGCCGGGCCGAGGGGAGCCGGGCCGAGGGGAGCCGGGCGCGGCCGGGTGGGCCGGCAGGAGGAGGGGCACGGGTGCCCGTGGCGGCAACAGTAGCCGGGAAATGTGACAGCGGCGATGACAGGGCCAGCAGCAACACACCGCGGGGTGCAGCACACGTGAATGACGTGCAGAACGGACTGGAAAAATGCTGTTGGTGGCTCTGTGGCACCCCGCCCACCGTTACGGCAGAGAAAGCGGCAGAGGGCTCCCCCGAGAACCTCCCGCTGGCTGGCCAACAGGAGGTGAGGGCAGTGGCACGCAGACGCAAACATGCGTGAGACTCCTCTGCCCACAGGGCGGGCAGGGCCGGGCACCGGACGGCAGGGCCGGGGAAGGTGGTGTTTGAGTCTCGGACGTGAGATGGCACGGAAGACGCGCGCTGTGCTGCCGGCCGCTGTCCACACCAGCCGGGCGGACCGAGGGGGAGCCAGGGGCCACCGGGCCGAGGACGAAGGGCCGTGCCCCGGGCAGATGCCAGTCACCCGGCCACCGGACGATGGTCAGGGCGCACCGCCAGGCCAGGCGCGGCCGGACAGCGGTGCCCCGAGCCTGAGGGGGCCACACGTCCCACTTTTTAACAATTTGTCCCGCGTCCAGCAGCGTTTTTAAAAAGCCGCTGGACGCGGGACAAATTGTTAAAAATCGGGGCTGTCCCGCCAAAAGCGGGACGTCTGGTCACCTTAGAGCCGGACTAGCCACGGCGGCAACCCTGGCCTCCGACCGCTGGCCCTGGAAAGGTGTTCCCACACGGCTCCCAGCCCCAGCCCGAGGCCCAGGCCATTTGCTCTGTGCCTCACACCACACGGAGCCCCAGAGTCAAGGTCCCGCCACTCCCGGCTCCAGCCCCTCCAAACGCTGACCTGCCAATGCCACCCTGGGAACTGGCCGATCTCCTCCATGGACCAGGCTCTCTGACAGAACCTTTCAGCCCTGGCTGGTGTGGCTCAGTGGATAGAGTGTCAGCCTGCAGAGTGAAGGGTCCCCAGTTCTATTCCAGTCAAGGACACAGGCCTGGGTTGTGGGCTTGATCCCCAGTAGGGGGCGTGCAGGAGGCAGCTGGTCAATGATTCTCTCTCATCATTGCTGTTCTCTCTCTCTCTCTTTCTCTCTCTCTCCCCCTCACAACCCCCCACCCCCTCTCTCTATAAAAAAAAATCAGTGGGAAACAATATCCCGGGGGAGGATAGAGGAACAGACCCGCCGTCCGCGACAGGCAGCACACCGACGCCGTCCCCGGTGGAAAGTTCCACCCCCAGGCGCCCTGTCCGCTCCCGAATCAAACGGAGAAAAGCCCCCCACGGCTCGCGGCGCCGGCAATCAGGAGCGGCACAAAGGCCTCTGTGGGAGCGCCGGGCCTCGCCGTCTGCGCCCGCTCTCCTCCGCCTCGCCTTCTGCAGAAATAGGTTACCCAGCGCCGGAGGCGAGCTCGCTGCTGCGCCCGTGGCCCGGCTCTCAGAGAGGCAGAGGCAGGCGGCCATCACCCCCGGACAGCTCCCCTCCAGCCCAGCGGCCCGCCCGCCTGCCCGGCGAGCGCGCACTGTCCCAGCCGGGCCCGTCCCAAACGCCACTCTACCGGGAGCCAGGTCACCCCCACACCGGACCTCCTGCCACCGCCCAGCTCACACTGCCCTGGCACCAGGGGCCTGAGTGCGGGCAGGGCGGGGGGGCTGCGAGTTCTGGTCACAGGGCTCAGGAAGGCGCGAGACGCTCAAGTCCCCCAGCCTCACCCTGCTTCCCGCACCCAGGTCCCACCACGCTCTGCCCTGACCGTGCAGCCGCAGGCCCAGCTCCTAGGGAGGTGCCCTCTGACCCCCAGGTAACCCCAGCTGACCTCGCCCTGACACCGGAGGGAGGTGCCCTCTGCCCCGCTGCCCTCTGACCCCCAGGTAACCCCAGCTGCCCTCGCCCCGGATGTCCAGAAGGCCCCTGTCAAGGGTGGCCGGTCCCATTGCCAGGTCTGAGGACGCACAGAGCCGCCATTGTCCTGCGGACTCCGCTGGACTTGTTCCCTCCTCCCCCATCCTCCTCTCTTCCTCCTCCCCCCACCCCCCCAAAGCCCCGTGAGCTGGTCCAGACCCGCAGGACGCCTCTGCCTGGCAGAGGAGACCGCTCCTGCGCCCGCCCCCTGGCGGGGGAGCACGGCCCGCGCCGGGAGGGGCCTCCGGGAGGGACTGGCTGTGAGGGCCTGCTCGCCGCGCCCACCTCCCCGTCAGCAGCCAGGGCGCTCCCCACCACCGGCCTGTCCCCCGGAGCCTGGGTCCTGCCTGGACACCAGAAACCAGCGCGGGGTTCTCTCCCGCTTCCCTTTAAGACTGAACACGCACCCTCTCCTCTCGGCGGTAGGAGGGTGGCTCCCGGCGGGAGGGGTGCAGGCACTCACCACCGGCCCCGAGCCTCTGCTTCCGGCATTCCTGCACAGGGCCCCCCCCGCCGGCCTCTGGGCAGGGGGCTCAGGCTAGCTAACACTGCCGGGGGCTCGGCATACTCCCTGCGTCTGCCCCCCCGCGCCCCCAGGCGGGCCCCAGGACCTCCCCGCCGAGCGCTGCTGTCAGGGGCGACCCCATCCGAGCTCTTCCACTTCACCCGCCCAGAGCCACGCCCAGAGCCACGGCCCCGTGTGAGGGCGGGAGTCTGGAACGCTGTAGACACGGAGCCACACGCGTGCAAACTTCGTAACTGTCCACCCGCCGCGTGTGGGTGGACGCTGTGTGCTGTGGAGCTGTGCCTCGTGTGTCTTACTTTCCGTTCCTGTGTCTCCGCTGCCGTGCGGTTCCCGGAGAAATTAAACCCACGGCCCACGGTCCAGACTGTCCCGACGGCACCTGCGTTACTGCGGGCACTCCGCTTTTACAAACGCTTCTGCTGGAACCCCCCTGCGTCAGCAGGTCCCCTCCAGCACCCCGGGCGACTCGGAGGCCGGGATGGTCTGCCGGTCAGACCCGCAGAGCCAGCTTCCCGCTCCCCCGGGCGGGCAGGGGGACCGTCCGGGCAGGGGGACCGTCCGGGCAGGGGGACCGTCCGGGCAGGGGGACCGTCCGGGCCACGGGGACCGTCCGGGCAGGGGGACCGTCCGGGCAGGGGGACCGTCCGGGCAGGGGGACCGTCCGGGCCGCGGGGACCGTCCGGGCAGGGGGACCGTCCGGGCAGGGGGACCGTCCGGGCCACGGGGACCATCCGGGCAGGGGGACCGTCCGGGCAGGGGGACCGTCCGGGCAGGGGGACCGTCCGAGCTGCAGGACCCCGTCCGGGCCGCGGGGACAGTCCGGGCAGGGGGACCGTCCGGGCAGCGGGACCGTCCAGGCAGGGGGACCGTCCGGGCCGCGGGGACCGTCCGGGCAGGGGGACCGTCCGGGCAGGGGGACCGTCCGGGCAGCAGGGACCGTCCGGGCCGCGGGGACCGTCCGGGCAGGGGGACCGTCCGGGCAGGGGGACCGTCCGGGCAGCGGGGGACCGTCCGGGCAGGGGGACCGTCCGGGCAGGGGGACCGTCCGGGCAGGGGGACCGTCCGGGCCGCGGGGACCGTCCGGCGCGGGGGACCGTCCAGGCAGGGGGACCGTCCGGGCAGGGGGACCGTCCGGGCCGCGGGGACCGTCCGGGCAGGGGGACCGTCCGGGCAGGGGGACCGTCCGGGCCACGGGGACCGTCCGGGCCGCGGGGACCGTCCGGGCAGGGGGACCGTCCGGGCAGGGGGACCGTCCGGGCAGGGGGACCGTCCGGGCCGCGGGGACCGTCCGGGCCGCGGGGACCGTCCGGGCAGCGGGGACCGTCCGGGCAGGGGGACCGTCCGGGCCGCGGGGACCGTCCGGGCAGGGGGACCGTCCGGGCAGGGGGACCGTCCGGGCAGCGGGGACCGTCCGGGCAGGGGGACCGTCCGGGCAGGGGGACTGTCCGGGCAGGGGGACCGTCCGGGCCGCGGGGACCGTCCGGGCAGGGGGACCGTCCAGGCAGGGGGGCCGTCCGGGCCGCGGGACCGTCCGCTGGCGCTCCGTGCCCAGCTCCGCACACCTCCCGCCCGGGGACCGTCCGGGCGCGGGGCTTACCGTGCGGACGCCCAGTCTACAGACAGCGAGTGAGATCTGGAGACATTCCGACATCCTCTAGAGACTGAAATGAGAGCGAGGTTACCCCTGAGGGTCCCCCAGAACCGACAGCCCCCCCCACGTCTGCTTCCTCCGGGAGGAGCGGCGGCTGCCCTCTGACCCGGAGCGGGCGGCCCAGGGGCGGGCGGCCGAGCCCTCCCTCCCTCGCCTTCCGCAGGCCGGCTCCCCCACAGGAGGGAGCCACAGCGCCCGCCCGCCCGCCCGCGGCCTCGGGGACCCCAGCCACCCGGCCATTCCCAGCACCAGAGAGGTGCCTGCTGGGACGGCCGGGTCTGTCTGCTTTACATCCTGTCCAAACAGCCAATGTCCATGGTAAGTTATTTGATTGCTAGGGATTAGGGCTTTTTTAAAAATATATTTTATTGATTTTTTTATAGAGGAAGGGAGAGGGATACAGAGTTAGAAACATCGATCAGCTGCCTCCTGCACACCCCCCACTGGGATGTGCCCGCGACCAAGGTACATGCCCTTGACCAGAATCGAACCCAGGACCCTTCAGTCCGCAGGCCGACGCTCTACCACTGAGCCAAACCGGTTAGGGCTAGAAATTAGTTTTGTGAGCATTTTTCGTTTTGTTCAGAACAGATTGTAAACATCTACAACGCCCACAGGAAAGGAAGCTTTGTGAAAGGAGAAGGTGACCCTAACATGCAAAGTGTCCCCTCGGGAGTTCTAAGGGAGTTCCATCACTTGCTGTGATGTGCGTTGACCACCAGGGGGCAGCACGGAACAAAGGAAGGCCCCAGTCTGCAGATGGAAGGCCCGGATCAGTCCTAATCGCCAGCCAGGCCTAGCGACCCACCCGCACAGGTGTTCCGTGCACCCGGCCTCTAGTTTTATATGTTCTTTGATCACCTCCACTCCCCCACCCTCCCCCGCCTTCCCTCTGAGACTCGTCATAAGTGTTTAACAATAGCAAACCTGTTACCAACATAACCTTAGGCCTTACGTGGGCAAGAATATATATGCGTATCCCTGTGTTAATATGATTACAAAACGATTGCAATAAACTGCAAAACAAGCTTGTGAATCATAAGACGAAAATGCATATAATAAAACCTCATTAAACAATGGAGGTGCTTCCTCCTAGAGAACTGAACACAAGTAAACACACCACAACCTCACCTCAACGCCAGCACCGGTGAGCTCCTCCAGCACCCATTCCCCCGTGAGCGCCTCCAGCACCCATTCCCCCATGAGCTCCTCCAGCACCCATTCCCGGTGAGAGCCTCCAGCACCCATTCCCCTGTGAGCTCCTCCAGCACCCATTCCCCTGTGAGCGCCTCCAGCACCCATTCCCCCCTGAGCTCCTCCAGCACCCATTCCCGGTGAGCTCCTCCAGCACCCATTCCCCCTGAGCTCCTCCAGCACCCATTCCCCCCTGAGCTCCTCCAGCACCCATTCCCCTGTGAGCGCCTCCAGCACCCATTCCCCCTGAGCTCCTCCAGCACCCATTCCCCCCTGAGCGCCTCCAGCACCCATTCCCCCCTGAGCGCCTCCAGCACCCATTCCCCTGTGAGCTCCTCCAGCACCCATTCCCCTGTGAGCTCCTCCAGCACCCATTCCCCCGTGAGCGCCTCCAGCACCCATTCCCCCTGAGCTCCTCCAGCACCCATTCCCCCCTGAGCGCCTCCAGCACCCATTCCCCCTGAGCGCCTCCAGCACCCATTCCCCGTGAGCTCCTCCAGCACCCATTCCCCCGTGAGCGCCTCCAGCACCCATTCCCCCTGAGCTCCTCCAGCACCCATTCCCACTGAGCGCCTCCAGCACCCATTCCCCCTGAGCGCCTCCAGCACCCATTCCCCGTGAGCTCCTCCAGCACCCATTCCCCCCTGAGCGCCTCCAGCACCCATTTCCCCCTGAGCTCCTCCAGCACCCATTCCCCCCTGAGCGCCTCCAGCACCCATTCCCCCTGAGCGCCTCCAGCACCCATTCCCCCTGAGCTCCTCCAGCACCCATTCCCCCCTGAGCGCCTCCAGCACCCATTCCCCCCTGAGCGCCTCCAGCACCCATTCCCCTGTGAGCTCCTCCAGCACCCATTCCCCTGTGAGCTCCTCCAGCACCCATTCCCCTGTGAGCGCCTCCAGCACCCATTCCCCCTGAGCTCCTCCAGCACCCATTCCCCCCTGAGCGCCTCCAGCACCCATTCCCCCTGAGCGCCTCCAGCACCCATTCCCCGTGAGCGCCTCCAGCACCCATTCCCCCGTGAGCGCCTCCAGCACCCATTCCCCCTGAGCTCCTCCAGCACCCATTCCCCCCTGAGCGCCTCCAGCACCCATTCCCCCTGAGCTCCTCCAGCACCCATTCCCCGTGAGCTCCTCCAGCACCCATTCCCCCCTGAGCGCCTCCAGCACCCATTCCCCGTGAGCTCCTCCAGCACCCATTCCCGGTGAGCGCCTCCAGCACCCATTCCCCCCTGAGCGCCTCCAGCACCCATTCCCGGTGAGCGCCTCCAGCACCCATTCCCCGTGAGCGCCTCCAGCACCCATTCCCCCCTGAGCGCCTCCAGCACCCATTCCCCCCTGAGCGCCTCCAGCACCCATTCCCCCTGAGCTCCTCCAGCACCCATTCCCCCTGAGCTCCTCCAGCACCCATTCCCCCTGAGCGCCCCCAGCACCCATTCCCCCCTGAGCGCCTCCAGCACCCATTCCCCCTGAGCTCCTCCAGCACCCATTCCCCCTGAGCTCCTCCAGCACCCATTCCCGGTGAGCGCCTCCAGCACCCATTCCCCGTGAGCGCCTCCAGCACCCATTCCCCCTGAGCGCCTCCAGCACCCATTCCCCCCTGAGCGCCTCCAGCACCCATTCCCCCTGAGCTCCTCCAGCACCCATTCCCCCTGAGCTCCTCCAGCACCCATTCCCCCTGAGCGCCTCCAGCACCCATTCCCCCCTGAGCGCCTCCAGCACCCATTCCCCCTGAGCGCCTCCAGCACCCATTCCCCCCTGAGCGCCTCCAGCACCCATTCCCGGTGAGCGCCTCCAGCACCCATTCCCCTGTGAGCTCCTCCAGCACCCATTCCCCCTGAGCTCCTCCAGCACCCATTCCCCTGAGCTCCTCCAGCACCCATTCCCCCTGAGCTCCTCCAGCACCCATTCCCCCTGAGCTCCTCCAGCACCCATTCCCCCCTGAGCTCCTCCAGCACCCATTCCCCGTGAGCTCCTCCAGCACCCATTCCCCCCTGAGCGCCTCCAGCACCCATTCCCCGTGAGCTCCTCCAGCACCCATTCCCCCCTGAGCGCCTCCAGCACCCATTCCCCCTGAGCGCCTCCAGCACCCATTCCCGGTGAGCGCCTCCAGCACCCATTCCCCCTGAGCGCCTCCAGCACCCATTCCCCCCTGAGCGCCTCCAGCACCCATTCCCCCCTGAGCTCCTCCAGCACCCATTCCCGTGAGCGCCTCCAGCACCCATTCCCGGTGAGCGCCTCCAGCACCCATTCCCCCCGTGAGCGCCTCCAGCACCCATTCCCCCCTGAGCGCCTCCAGCACCCATTCCCGGTGAGCGCCTCCAGCACCCATTCCCCCCTGAGCGCCTCCAGCACCCATTCCCCCCTGAGCGCCTCCAGCACCCATTCCCCCCTGAGCGCCTCCAGCACCCATTCCCCCCTGAGCGCCTCCAGCACCCATTCCCCCTGAGCGCCTCCAGCACCCATTCCCCCCTGAGCTCCTCCAGCACCCATTCCCCGTGAGCGCCTCCAGCACCCATTCCCGGTGAGCTCCTCCAGCACCCATTCCCCCCTGAGCTCCTCCAGCACCCATTCCCCCTGAGCTCCTCCAGCACCCATTCCCCCTGAGCTCCTCCAGCACCCATTCCCCCTGAGCTCCTCCAGCACCCATTCCCCCTGAGCTCCTCCAGCACCCATTCCCCCTGAGCTCCTCCAGCACCCATTCCCCGTGAGCTCCTCCAGCACCCATTCCCCCTGAGCTCCTCCAGCACCCATTCCCCCTGAGCTCCTCCAGCACCCATTCCCCCCTGAGCTCCTCCAGCACCCATTCCCCCGTGAGCGCCTCCAGCACCCATTCCCCCCTGAGCGCCTCCAGCACCCATTCCCCCTGAGCTCCTCCAGCACCCATTCCCCTGTGAGCGCCTCCAGCACCCATTCCCCCTGAGCGCCTCCAGCACCCATTCCCCCCTGAGCTCCTCCAGCACCCATTCCCCTGTGAGCTCCTCCAGCACCCATTCCCCCTGAGCTCCTCCAGCACCCATTCCCCCTGAGCTCCTCCAGCACCCATTCCCCTGAGCTCCTCCAGCACCCCATTCCCCCTGAGCTCCTCCAGCACCCATTCCCCCTGAGCTCCTCCAGCACCCATTCCCCCGTGAGCGCCTCCAGCACCCATTCCCCCTGAGCGCCTCCAGCACCCATTCCCCCTGAGCGCCTCCAGCACCCATTCCCCCTGAGCGCCTCCATCACCCATTCCCCCTGAGCGCCTCCATCACCCATTCCCCCTGAGCGCCTCCAGCACCCATTCCCCCCTGAGCGCCTCCAGCACCCATTCCCCCCTGAGCGCCTCCAGCACCCATTCCCCCTGAGCGCCTCCAGCACCCATTCCCCCCTGAGCTCCTCCAGCACCCATTCCCCTGTGAGCTCCTCCAGCACCCATTCCCCTGTGAGCTCCTCCAGCACCCATTCCCCCCTGAGCGCCTCCAGCACCCATTCCCCCTGAGCTCCTCCAGCACCCATTCCCCCCTGAGCGCCTCCAGCACCCATTCCCCCTGAGCTCCTCCAGCACCCATTCCCCCCTGAGCGCCTCCAGCACCCATTCCCCCTGAGCTCCTCCAGCACCCATTCCCGGTGAGCTCCTCCAGCACCCATTCCCCCTGAGCTCCTCCAGCACCCATTCCCCCCTGAGCGCCTCCAGCAACCCATTCCCCCGTGAGCGCCTCCAGCACCCATTCCCCCTGAGCGCCTCCAGCACCCCATTCCCGGTGAGCGCCTCCAGCACCCATTCCCCCCTGAGCGCCGCCAGCACCCTTCCCCCTGAGCGCCTCCAGCACCCAT